TTTTTTTTTTTAAAAAAAAAATTCAAATTTTTTGGTATAAATTTAAATATTAATGAATTCAATAAAAAAAATTAATTTATTTATAATTTTTTTTATGAAGTTAATTTTATAATATATATATATATATAATGAATATAAATATAAATATATGAATGTAGGTTAAAATTTTGTTTTTATTTAGACTGAAATTAGATTTTTTTAACAAATTATTAAAAATATTAATTTTTTTAACACTTTTTTTTTTCATTTTTTTTCTTTGTAACTGAAGTTGCTATAGTCAATAACAACCTTATGTCGTTATGGGTCAAAGTAACCCATTTGTACACTTTTTAAAATATTTTTCATGATTTTTTTTAGTAATTGAAATTGTTATGAGCTACAGTGACCTTGTGTAAGCGACTCACTTTTTTTTTATATATATATTTTTGGATTTTTTTACACATTTTTCAGTTTTTTTTAATGTTACTTTTTTTTTGTTACTTTATTTTATTTTATTTATGTGATGCATTTTTTTATATGAAAACTTAATTATATATATGTAATGAATATAAATATATATTTTTTAATGTAGGTTAATTTTTTTTTATTTGAATTGAAATAAAAAGTAGACAAATTATTAAACATTTTCAAAGCTTTTTTTTAAGAATTGAATTTTTTTTAAGTTAAAGTTTTTAGTTTAACTTATTTAAAAAAAAATACTACTATTTTATTTTTGGTTATAGGTGAACTATTATGGGTTATTTTTTAAAAATCTTATTTTTTTTTATAAATTACAAAAATATTTTAAATGATCAACTCTTAAAATAAAAATATTTAAAAATATTATTTATTATTTATTATATATATATATAATTTTAAAAAAATAAAGTCGTTTGATAAGTTGGAAGAGCTGGTAGCGACACTATTAAAATCGTTACTAATAGTGTCATTATCAATTGTAGTGACTTTTACATAATTAAAATCAAGCCATCATCTAAAAAAGTTGACATATATAGAGTCGTTATAATTCATAACGACCCTGTAGTAAATAATTTCAAAGATGTAGATAATTTAAAAAATATAACTAATTTTAAAAATAACTTCATAATCAGCCAATTATACTTTAAATAATTGATAAGTGATGACTTTGATATTAAATGTTTGATGCTAAGTAACGCAATCTAAGGTTTTAAAATATTTGCATGGCAACCAATGTATCATGTAAAATGCATAATTATTAAAATTAGACTAGACCAATCAGTTGAAACGTGAACCAACTTGATATTTCGACCATAATAACATAATAATGGGTAACTCATTAAACCAATATTAAAGTATTAAAACTAATCAAAAATTGTAATTACCGGTAGAAACTGGCTGGTCAAATGATTCATCTATTTGATGATAAAATTTAAAATTGATCAAGTGCTTATTTGGTTTTGTGTCTTATAAATGCAACTATGTAAATGGTGAAAAAGTTGAAACTACACTTGGTGTAGCTTCTCCACGAACGTGGAAAGAAGATGCAATTTTTTTTTTTTTTTTATATGATAGGATTTTAACCAAACTCGAATGCTTTGTTTACGAGGAAGAGAAAGAATCAAAACAAATAAAATAAAATAAATGAGAATTGATTTGATAGAAAAATATATAAGAAGTTTTGTAAAAATTGTAATTGTTTGATAAAGTAAAATTATATAAGAAATAGAAAGAAATTAATATTTTAAAATTATATTTTATATAGTCAGATTTTTATGTAAAAAATATAATATTTAGACAATTAAATTTTTACCCCTACTAACTAGTTATTTAGATAATTAAAGAAATAAAAATTAAAGAAAAAATATTTTATAAAAACAAAAATCAAGATCTGCTTATTTTTTAGGAATTGAAAAACAATAATTTCATATTTTAGAAAGATGAAAACAAAAGAACAAATTTTATCAACAAAACATACTCATTTTATATACTCATTTTATAGAAGTTTAAAATATATTTATATCAATTTTTAACTTGTATTTAAGTTAATTTTAATTTATAAAAAAATATTACTTATTCTTTTTTATAAGTTTTATTTTCAAAATTAGTTATATATGCAACACCCATTTTTAATTATATTCAATAACTAAAAATTAGTTTTAAAACGAAAAATGATACACGAGAAAGCATGAGGAATTAGTTAATTAATACCTAAAGAGAAGAAAAAAAACAAAAAAACTATAAATATAATAAATAATATGATATAAAATATATAATTTGAATAAATTATCCCTTTAAAACCCAAATGCTGGAGATATATATAAGTATAACTCAATCCTTTGTCTCTTAGCAGCCCAAGAAAAAAAGAAAAACACTGACTGAGAAATTAAAGAAAGAAAGCAAAAAATATGGGGGAAGAAAACTTTGGGACTCAGCAAGAACCCAATATTCCAAACTCACCACCTTTGTGCAAGATTCAAAGAAACCAAGAAGACCATGCAACGCTCGACCCATGCTCCTGCCCCCGCCACCCGCCCTGTTCCGCCGTCGCCCCCGTCAAGCGCCGCTCCCCCTCTTCCTCCGCCCAGCCCAGCGCCAAGAAACTCTTCTGCGACCAAGAGGACCTCTCCCTCCACGGCTTCTCCGCCGTCCACGTCCCCCTCAACCTCCACTCCCTCCTCACCAAGGGCCGTTCCTCCCCCGTCCTCCGCCGCTGCGTCTCCGACCCCTGCTGCCCGCCCAGACCCTCCGCCCTCCCGCCCCTCCCGCCCACCTTCCGGAGGAGCGTCTCCGACCTCTCTCCCTTGCCTCTGCCTTGTATCAACTGCGAAGAAAATACTGCACCCGACTCCCTGGTATGGACCGTTCTTGAAAAAGTTTTGATCTTTCTTGGATTTGGAATCGTGGGTTTTGTTTCTTTTTTGATGGGTGTGTGCGTGCGTGCAGAGGCTGAGAAGGATGAAAGATCGTTTGAAGGAGATGAAGCAGTTGTGGGATGAGGTTATGGAAGATAATGACCAAGAAGATGGAGGAGGAGAAGACTGTCAAGTGCATGAACATCACAAAGTCCTGCCTAAGGTATTCTTGATTTTCGACTATCATTCTTTTGTCTTTTTAATGACCAACAAGATATATAATAATGAATCAAGAAAATTTCAAGTTTGTATTTTCTTTTTAATTGTTAACGTCTGCATGCAACTTACCTTATACGAGACGGGGTGAGTATTTTGCAAATAATTAAGCGGTTAACATGTAATATTTAAGGTCTCATCATCCTATTTTTAAAGAATATATAGTTTCCATTCTAACTTATTTGTGTTGGATTTATGTGTTTTTACAGGATGATGTTGGAGAAGAGTCTGAAGAAGCAGTTAGTGTTGAATGGGCTGAAAAGTGCTTAAGCATTATTTTTAGATGTCCGTGTGGGAAAGGCTATGAGTTTCTCCTTTCAGAAAATAATTGTTACTACAAGTTAGTGTAGATGAATTAGAGATCTTTTAGTTTGAAATGATTTTTTTTGTTTTTATTTTCTTTTGATTTGTTAAAGATTGTTTCTATTTTCATGTATGACTTTTGGATGTGACTAAAAGGAATGTTATATCACTCACTTTCAATAATGTAAATAGGATTTCTGATAATGTAAATAGGATTTCTGTTTATAAGAGATGAAGGAAAACATATTTTGTTTCATTTACAAATCTTGCCTATAAAGATCATAAATAATGGATGGCTTAATGTGGAGATTGTTACTCCCCTTTGTGACAATGTTTCTCTAATAATCTTGACAAATTTTATCAACATGTTTGCTTTTATGGAATTAAGCATAAAGAAGAAATTTGAGTTTGTAATTGGCCTGGTGGGTAAACTTTTTTTTTTTTCGTATCAAAAGTTGAAAGGTTCTTTTGATTTGAACAACAATTTTTGATTTGACATGCCATCAATCATCAAAGTTGAGAATGTTTAGAGATCAAACATGTTGATAAAATTTGTTAAAGGTTATTGAAGAAGTATTGTTGCATCGGAGAATAATACTCTTCACATTAAGTTATTCATTACTTATTACTTATGACAAGACGAATAAATGGAACAACATATATTTACCTTCATTTTTTGGAAATAGTACATAGTATCTTATTTACATTATAAAAAATGAGTGATTTAATATTCTTTTTAATTACATTCAAAAGTCACGTATGAAAATAGAAACAGGCTTTATCAAACCAAAAGAAAATAAAAACAAAAAAATCATTTCAAACTAAATGGTCTTTAATTCATTTATACCAATTTGTAGTAACAATTATTTTCCAAAAGGAGAATCTCATAACCTTTTCTCACACAGACGTCTAAAAATAATACTTAAGCACTTTTTAATCCTGGTAATAAATTTAAACTCTTCTCCCTAAACATCCTACAAAAACACATAGATCCAATGCAAAATAGCAAATAAGTTGCGATACAAACTATATAGAAGAAAATAATAAAAATTGATGCATCTTGCAGAACCCACATGTACATCACCTATTATGGAATTAACTAAGTCATGAGATAAATATTATATTTGACGGTGATTAAATCAAAAAACTTTAAACTTAAAACGTAGAAAATTAGTTAAATCATTCAAAGTCACAAATTAAAAGAGAGAACACCAAATTAAAAAGAGAAGAAAAAAAGAACATTAAAGTGATACGTGAAATTGAGGATGAGAAAACAGATAATTTTTGTTTTGTTTATTTTATTTTAATACTATATATCTTAATTTACTTAAATACCCTTAAAAGTAATTAATTAAAATAAGAGAAAAGATGATTTTTGACCTAAACTTTTAGTATAAGTGATTAATATATTTTAACTAAAAAAAAAAATAAGTGTGAATATATTAGTAATATATATATATATATATATACACGGGGAGGGGCCCCTTTACTTATAAAATCATTTATTACAAGGTTCATTTATGTTTACGGTGCAAATCATGATCGATATAGAAAATAAAAATATTAATTTTTACTTATAGGAAATATATTTTATTTAATTTATGTTTCTTTTATAAATATTTATAGAAAAAATTATCAATCGAACTACATAGCCATGTTATTTGGGGAAATCATCCAACTCTTTCACTCTTTTGCAAGTAACGTGGATGATGTCAATTAGGGAGTGACAACTGACAAGTTTGAAACAAACTCTGATACATAAATACTCGATCTGAATCCAGTTTTCACTTTAATGTTTGTGTTGGTTGAAGTTCATATTAAAAGTTTTTTTTTTTTTTTATAATAAAAAATTTAGGTGAGTTAAGTTTTGAAAATCATCAAAATCATACACATTTTATAAATGCTTATAAATATACATACAGGTTATTCACAATAAAATTGTTATTAAAAATTAATTCATCATATTCGTGCACTTCATCATTGTAAAAATGTTGTGAACAATTATTTTTATATTTTAAGAAAAATATTAAAATTGTTTTTTTTTGTCTTTAAATATATTTGAATTAAAAAGAAAAAGAAAATCCACTAGTGTAGTGTAGTGTGGAGAGTGGTACTTGAATCAGCGTGACTTAACCTGGTTTGGTTTCTCTGATCTTCTCCCTCTTCAATAAGCGTCACTTTCTCTTGAATCTACGTTCTGCTGAGATGAGAAATAAATAATTAATATTATTATATTGATCGATAGAAACAGACATATATAAGCGCAGATCGGCATCATCGTCTTCTTCTATACACTTGTCGATCGCAAATTCGGAAACCCTAGCTGCTAGATCTGATCTCGCTTCCATGGCTATGGCGTCACGGAAGCCTCGCGACCGCCAAATGCTCTTCGACTCCGTCATCGCGCTCGTCTTCATCCTCGTCGCCTGCGTCGACCTCTGCGACGGCGCCACTGTCGTCGACGTCTACCGCCTCATCCAGTACGACATGTCCGGCGTCCCCTTCGGATCTCGGCTCGCCAGCCTCAACCACCACGCCGCTTCTCTTCACTTCTCTCCCCACGCCGATCTCTCTCGCACCGTCCTCCTCATACCGCTTCGCGAACTCAACATGTCCTTTGTCAGAGGTTCTTCTTCTTTCTTCTTATTTTTTTTTTTGTGGTTATAATTATGAAATTATTAATATATTTTGCTTTACTGTGCTGAGACTGTGATGTTCATGTGTAACGTAATTCGGAATTACGTTGAGTTAGGACGGTGTCTGCGAAACGCCAGAAGTGTTATTAAGATTTCTTAGCTTCGATACTTTTTTTTTTTTAGTGATCGTCAATTTTGAGTATAACTGACGGAGTTGCATAATTCTCAGTTGAGTTAATCATTTAATATTTATAAAAAGAGAAAATTTATATATACTTGTCTGAGATGTAAAGGAGGAAGAGAGTGCCAGTGGGAGGATGATAAATAATAGAAATTAAATTGGTTAAGATGTTACACATAATAATTTGAAGGGGGCGATTGGTAAACTACTTAATTAAGCACTTATTGATTTTTTTTTATCCATGGGATTTGAACTCCTTATGAAGGAGATTTACAATACTGACGCTTCAACCAACTGAGTTAGACCCCCTTAATAAGCACTTTTTGAATAAGTTTTTATTATGCAAACATTATTTATTAGTTGTTTTTATAATCAAAGAGAGGATTGAGTTAAACTCTTCTCATATAAGCTATGAGCAATCTAGGAGAGCTTATGGAAGTAAACTGAAAACAAATATTGACCATATCATACACTATTTTTATAAACTCTCTTAAACACTTACATAAGTACTTATGTTAAGTTTAAATAAGCTCTTCCATATGCACCCTTAATAGCTTATATGTTGAAGGTATTTGGTTTGGAGACGGTAAGATGCTCTCATTCACCAGGCAAGCAGGAAAAGTTATATACATTTTTATATCATGTTTATAAAATTGACAAGTTGGTTGTTGCGTTTGCCCCAAGGCCCCCAATTATTATTCATTTTATTGAAAGTTTGAACTGTGTTCTATATTGTTCTAGTTGAATGCTTAACATTTATTGTCCCTGTCATTTGTATTGATCACTATTTGAAGAATGTTATTTTGTCTCGCTTATTATTTAACTAGATCAAAATCTTGTGACTGCAATATGGCAGAATATATTGCTGAAAGCAAGCCTCTCGGGGGTTTAATATTTTTGCTTCCCCGGATGTTCAGTTTTGAAAACAAAGATGGTATGGGAAGTAGTCATCAAGATGGGAGTAAAGAATTGCTGAAGAATGTATTGGATGAACTTGAACAGATACTTATACACACCAACTTGCCTGTGAGTAAATTTTAATTAGCTCCTTTGTCTAGATTGTTTTCATTTTGAATCACTAGGGGTTGGTCTAGGAGTTGGGAGTTGGAGTAGTATTGTATGCATAAGTCTTGGGTTCGAACTTTATTGCCATAATTGTAATCTTTCTTATTGGTCAAAAAAAGATTGTTTTCATTTTTTCTTTTTCTTTTGGAATTTCATATAAAATAAATTATTTTATATGAAATAAGGAAACAATGTTTAATTGACTTGTCCATGAATAATGAATTCCTTTTACATTATAATTGTGGTGATTTTTTTTTTCAACCACTATGTTCTCAACTTATATCTTTAAAAGTAGTTTATTCAGTGATTGACCAACTAAACTGTATTCTCCAATCACCTAAATGATTTTATAAACAAATGTACTCTTTCATTCATTCAGCAATTTGTATGATGAAGGAAAATTGGCCTTGTATTAAGTGTCCCAACAATCTGATGATGATTGAAGACTTTGGAGAGCGTCATTGTGTGCATGTCAAACTTGTTTGAGTTCAAGTTACAAATGTCCTCGTGTGCATGCTCACAGATGAATTACTTATGAAGTTTAATTTTTGTACACTGATGGTGTAAATTTTTTATGCTATCAACCAAATAAAAATCACAATAGATTAACTTTTAAAGTAATTATTACAAAAGTCAATAATTTTACCATACATTACAATCTATGATTGGATGGACTGTGTAAAAAACCTTTACACTGTCTGTATTCTAATTAAATTCTTATTCTTTTAAGTTGCAGACTTGTGGTAAATGATTTATAAATCTGTGATTTACAGTCTATCAATATGTTTTTCTATGACTATGCTTCTCTAGTTGGCCTTATGTGTTTGCAAGCATATTAGATCCTTGACTGATCAGTTAGTGCTGAGAGATACCTGTGAAACCGGAAATTTTCCTTGACTTATATTTTCCTCTTAGCTTCAGACCTGTAGTCTAGCACCATTTTTTGATAGCATGGACTAGTCAATGCACAACATAAGTAATGAGCTAATGTAATTGGTTTATTGATTATCTAGAAGACCCATATTAGTGTGCTGCCTATTATTATTATTATTATTATTACTACTACTACTACTACTTTTTTGCATGTGCGATAGAAATGAAAGGCACACTTCTTTGAATTTCATTGTTCTTCCATAAATTAATGGATTTCACATTAAGGGTAAAAATAATAAATACTTTTTGATTTAGTATGTGTGGTGACTGGGGTGGCATGCTTTTCCATGTAATGTGAGGAAGCATGTTTCCTGCAATAATTATTTTTTGTTTTCCCCCTTTTTATTGCATTATTAAGTACCTCTATCATTTTATTTTTGTCATTTTGAGTGAAGCATAACTTTTATGATGCTGCATCATGTTGCAGTATCCTGTTTATTTTGCATTTGAGGATGACAATATTGATGCTGTGTTAACTGATATCAAGAAGAATGACGTCACTGGTCAGCCTGCTACTGCAACAACTGGCGGGTGAGTTCAAATCTGTAAATAAAGTTTTCATTGCTATGACTAAATTTTGCAAAATTCTCTTGATGGTTAAAGCAAGTGATGTGGGACTTTATGGCTTGATTCATTGGATCTTACATTCATGATTACTTTGTATATTTCCAACCTCTGGGTATTAGATCATGTTATTGAATACCTTCTGTTCTATTGTTTGATTTATGTTTCAATTATCTATTCATTTCACAGTTGCTGCTTTTCTTATATTTTTAATTATGTTTCTTGGATTTTTCTGTTGTGAATTAATTTTCATGTATGTTGAGTTATTGTATTACCTAGTTTTTTGCTCTTTATGAAGTGTCATTTTCAATGATTTCTTTCCTTTTCTTTTTTTTTTTGAGATGTTGCAGATACAAATTTGTAGTTTCAGCTCCAGAACCAAAGAAAGTTGTATCTCCTCCCATTACAAATATTCAGGTGTTTGTTCAACCTTCTTTTTAGAAAAATACATTGTGGTTGACATGCTAAATAAAACTAGCATATGAAAATATGCCATCTATTTGATTCCTTCTCTTTTTCTTATGTATTTTTGTGTTTAAATTCTACAACTGATTCAGTGTAAGTCTTCATTAATAAACACCCCAGTTTGCTCATATAATCTTGTCTAGGAAGCTTTATGAGAAAATCTAGAAAATTTGGAAGATCCTTGGGTTTGAGCATGACTCAATATTTAATAATCCAAATTCCGGAGGAGCCTTACCGTGCAAGGTTATTTTTTAAGACCTATGCAAGTTGATGTATCACAATTTTGGGGAAAAGTTACAAGGACTTGGTGCACTAGGAAGTTTTGACAAGAGATATGTCATTTGCCATGCAGTTCTTGTCTCAATCCCTTAAGTAGACTGGACGCTACTGTTCCTAATGATTGTTCCTTGGGGATCACTTATCCTGTCACATTCCTTACTTGTTGTAAGCCGTACTTGTCACCTGGATGTATCCCTACCATCTCCATCCTGTCTCAAAGTACCGTCTTCTATTCATGCTATGCCCTGCAGTTCATGTGCCTAAGCACACAGATCTACTTTATCTTGTCAATTTGCTTCTCATTCCCATCCAATGTATAACAGGACTTATCATTCAGGCTTACCCATTGTTTGTTTCTAGATTTTTCTTTCCTTCCCTATTTTCTATCCATTCCTCTTCAACCAAACAATAGAATTTTTCTAATTTTAAAAGTTTTCTTCCCTTCATATTTTTCCCTCTCCATCCAAACAATATGCATTCCTTACCTTAGATCTTATAAATACCCCCTCATTAATATTGAATAGTGAAAGATTGATCCTTGGATGGCTTTTCTTTGTATCCTCTTTCTTCTTGTTGTGCTCCCATCTTCTTCCTCCATAGCCAAGTTATAAAAGAATATGAGCCCAGGATTGGCTCAAATAAACAATTCCCTGTAAGGATAATCAAATAATACCAGATGAAAAAATGGTATCTTTAATTACATTTTGGCTTAATGTTTTGCCCCTAAAGTTACACAATCTTGTGAATTTTGCTCAGTTTTTTTTTTTTTGGAAATTTGCCACCAAATTTACAGGTTCAATATTCTTCTGCGAGATTGTGTAACTTTGTAAGGATAATCTACATGTTTAAACAGTTTGGAGGTTCTGTATTTTGCAACAACTGCTACACGTATAAGCAAAACCAATTGATGTGTAGATAGTCTGCTTTTTGTATTATTCTTTTTCCAGCATGGTGAATATAATTTTCTCCATGCTTTAGTTACCCTTACCCTGTCAGAGTTTGATAATGTTTTGTAAACTTATAGTAACCTGTTTAAATAAATCAACTATATGATTATGAACTCCTCAGTTCCTTCCTGACATGTTAATTTTTTTTCTCTTTTGATTTTATTATTTTCTTCCTCTTGATCATTTTTTTTTTCTGAAAACACTTTCTTCATTATAGACCTACGTTTCTTTTAATTGCTTAACTGATCATCTTTAAAGTTTCTACAAGTTGCAGATTAATTATATACATATTGAAATGTGAACATATGAATTATGTTTAAGCATGAAAAAATACAGCTTCTTGATAAAATAAAACAGTTGAAGAAATGTTTCACACACATCATGGTAATCACAACTTGTGATATTTAATTTATGTTCAAATGATTTCACTCCTGCATGTGCTTCTGTATTGCAGAGAAAATACATACTCTGGCTTCATTATCACAAGTATTTTAAAATTGATGTGCATTATATTGAACTTGTGTGGATGTTGGATGTATCTTTTATATGGTTGCAGGGATGGTTGTCAGGATTGAAGACAGATGATGATGCTCATCAATTACCCACCATTGCGATAGTGGCATCATATGACACCTTTGGGGCTGCTCCTGTATGTTATTTATGAATTCCACCTATAAAAAAAGTTGTATGAAATGTATGTTTATGTTAAAATATCTGTAATTGCAGGCATTATCAGTTGGAAGCGATAGTAATGGAAGTGGCATTGTGGCTCTTCTTGAAGTTGCTAGGTTGTTTTCTCTCTTATATTCTAATCCAAAGACAAGAGGACAATACAATCTGCTATTTGGGCTAACATCTGGTGGGCCTTATAACTACAATGGAACCCGTAAGGTGATAACTGTTTGGAAGTTAATTTATTTGCTGATAGGTCTGTAACTTGTACAGCCTTCCCTATTTTCTATGGTTTATCTTACATAAAATTCTGAATTTTTCAGTGGCTTCGGAGCTTTGATCAACGGCTGCGTGAGAGCATTGACTATGCTATTTGCTTAGATAGTATTGGCTCCTGGGAAAATGAATTGTGGATTCACGTGTCTAAGCCTCCGGAAAATGCCTTTATTAAGAAAATTGTGGAAGTATGTTAATAGTCAGTGGCACAAACTTTACTAAAATGGATTGACTTACATTTTTATCTAAAGGACTTCTAATGGAAAATATTGGTGTAGGATTTTTCGAGTGTTGCAGAAGAATTAGGCTTTAAAGTGAATCTGAAGCATAAGAAAATAAACATTTCAAATCCTCGAGTAAGTGATAAATTCTCAGTATTCTGTTTCACTTCCCTACCTCTTTAGTAATTTATACTTACCTTCAACTCTATCTCGATGTGTGTATTTTCAGACAATTTCCATTGTCCCCATTATTTTATTACCATGTACAAATACCTTATTTATGGTTTACATGTTTATAGAAAAAAGGTTTTGAAACTAAGATGTATCTGTTCTTCTAATTTTCATTTTAATCTGATGTCAAATCATCCTATTGGTTTCCACTTTTTACCCTAGTCATATCAGCTTGTGCTTCATGTTTTATTGAAGTATTTCCTGATAGCAAGCATATGCGCCCTGCATGTTGTCTCAATGCTACTTCTAATAGTTATTAAAGGTGGTCATCTGCTGTAGGTAGCTTGGGAGCATGAACAGTTTTCAAGGCTGAGAGTTACTGCTGCCACCCTCTCTGAACTCTCCACAGCACCTGAATTGCTAGAAAAGACTGGTGGTTTGGTTGACGGAAGGTTCATCTCTGAACCTAAATGCCAGAATTTTATCATTTCTGTACCTTTTTGTTTAGAGCTTCATTCTGCTGCAGGCATTTTGTCAATGAAGCGGCTATTGTCAGAAGTGTGAAATTAATTGCTGAGAGTCTTGCGGTAAGATTAAATTTAGCTCAAAGTAGAAATCAATGCACAAAAAAAATAGATTAGGAATGTAACCGCTTCGTGTCCTTGTATTTTTATTTTCTTATCATTTGGCATAAAAAGAGACTTGAGGGGGAGTGCTTTGTTGTTTGTTTGTCCTGGAAAATATAGTATTATTATATTTTGTTGTAGTGAGTGTTTATTCTCTAATAATGTCAACACCTATCTTTCTTGTGATTTTGTGAATAATATGAGGTTGTTTGGTATATACTTCTTCATATGCACTAGGTGGTTTGCAAACTTTTAAGAAAAAAAGATTAAAGGGTTAACCACTCGCTACCTTTGTTGATTATTGCAAACTGTCTTAATTAGTGAGTCTTTAGAAAGACAGTTAAATAGATGTTCATGAACTGTTACGTGACTACTTGCTATCCTGTGTTTAAGTGTTTTTAAAGAACTGCTCAGAAAATGTTATGTTGTTGTGACATGTGTCATCACTCATCAGCTTCATATATTTTTTATTCAAGGACAACCTCATTGTTTTACACAGTCTATTGGTCTACTTTCTGCAGAGGCATATTTATGGACATCAAGGAAAAAATATTCAGATCTTTGCTGACAACAGTAACTTGGCTGTCAATCCTTCTTATGTTCGATCATGGTTAGATGTTTTGTCCCAAACACCTCGAGTAGCTCCATTTTTCTCAAAAGATGATCCTTTTGTCATGGCGCTGAAAAAGGTATTATTGCATGCTTTTGCTTAAAAAAAGTGTTGTTGTAATGTGTAAAAATCATAGCTTTTGCTGTCATTTCAAGTTTAATGATTAAGAAGCACATATATGACATGAGAAGCAAATATGATATGATACAGATATGACAAATTTATAAATCATGAAAACACGACAAGACTATATAATACATATAAATTATTGTAAAATTAAAAAACATTCTTAAATTAGATGGAAGAATTCATGTTCTAAAAGTATGATCCATTGTAAACATAACAAAATGATAAATTTATTGTACTATGGCATTTTAATTTGTGTTGATATAAAAGTTAAACTAAAAAAATTATGAACAACTAAAATTATTCTAAGCTTTCCATGCAGTGTACAACATGAAGACATGTAGAAACACAGTTACAACATGAGACAGCCACTATTTATAAGTATCTGTGCATCTTAATTTGTAGCAATATTAAAATGTATACGTTTTTTTTTTGTTGACAAGGGAGATTATATATGTTAAATATTATGTACTGTTTCTGGAGTAAAACGGACAAAAATTTACTGCTCGTCCTATTTTACTTAAAAGTTGAGGAGTTGAGGGTGCTCCAAGTTCACTCCTCAGTTCTTGATGACTGGAGTTCACTCGTGTACTTACCCTAGTGTTTTACATGTATGTAGGAATTAGAGGATCATACTGATGAGGTAAATCTGCATAGAGACGTGCTAGATGGAATCTTCACTTTCTATGATTCAACTAGGGCAAAGCTGAACATATATCAGGTATTTAAAGTTGTTTTCGTTCCACTTTGTTCTGTATACAAAGGTTAGCCAGTTTAAGGGGCTGAATCAACTTAATGGATCTTCAGTCCTGAGCTTGACCTTGTATGTTTTAAAGGATATATTTTCCTGATTAAAATGAGGGAGTTTTTACAATAAACAATTTTTTTTAAATAAATCCATATTTGGCTGAGCTAAACTTAGTATTTTTTTATTCAAAATTTCTCTTAGGTGTCCAAAAAAGTGTTTTTAGGCTCTAAAATAAGTTTAATCTGAACATGCTTAAGTATTTTACTTTTGGCTTGCTAATTATATGAAAGTAATTGTTTTATGGTATTACAGGTTGCAAGTGTCACATTTGACTTGCTGTTGCTTCTAGTATTGGGATCGTATTTGATTGTGCTCTTCAGTTTCTTGGTCATCACCACTAGGGTATCTATTCATTATCTAACATCCTTCACAAACTTTTGGATATGGAGTTTGTTTGTATGCACTGAATCTTATTGATGGTGTTCGACAGGGTCTTGATGATCTAATCAGTCTTTTTCGGCGGCCTCCCTCTCGGAAAGTGAAGACTGCATAGTAACTGGCAGGACGTAGTTCTTAAGTTTTAATTAGTATCTTAGAATGCAAGTTTCTAATGAAAAGCTCTGTAGCGGATTTTTCACGTCATTTTCTTTAGTGATTAAAAACAGCAAGATATTTATTTTTGGCTGTACTAAATTAACGACGCCAAAATTTTGATATTTTTTTGCCCGTTTCACATTTTTTGTAGTGGAAAAAATGGTTACTAATTCATGCCCTGTGATCACAAGGCTTACCCGGGTTGTTATAGGCTTAGTTTCGCTCAATAAAGGATTGATTTGGTTAATTTATCAAATATAATTTTCTGCTTGCATAAGGTTGCAATTGGTCTCTTTTTAGTGATCCCAATGTTAAACTAAATGTGGATGGAAGTTGGTTTCCTGTTGAGGATAAGTTGGCCTCAACTTAAATACTAGAAATATCAGTCGCGTATTTGACTACTACTGGTTACGATGTTAAACGAATAGAATGCAGAGCAGATTCGTATGCACACTCACGGTTCACCGCTGCGTCCCCGTTTAAATAGTGAAAGACACAAAAGAAAGTATGAATACTTTTATACTTCTAATATTTTGAGATAGAGACAAAAATTTAACCAATGATTTGTTAAGTAAAATAAAATCATTTACTGTCATGAAGACAGTCAATTTCATGTGTGGTTCACGGTGCACTAACTTATATTGGTAAACAATTATAGAATTTAAAATATAACAATAATAATAATATAGTATTATACCAATAATTTTATTAAAATTAATTTATCCTCAAGAACACTTTATTTCTCGACACAATTGAATCTGCCATTAAAGAAGCTAGTTAAATGTCTTTGTTCTCTCTCTTTCTCTATCCATTTTGGCATAATATGTAAGTTGTATATTAAAATTAAATTTTGGCATATGTTAAAATTAAATTAATATATGTCACTTTTAGGGAAAACAATATAACGGGAAATACTGAGACTCCTTGCTTGCTAGAATAAATGACCTGACTGGAGGTGCTTCGCTTGCTGCAAGTATCCATTTTTAAAGTTTTTAAGCAATACCTTATTAAAAAAATCAATAATTACTAAAGTATATTTTAATTTGATATCACTGTCAAGAGTTTCTCAATCCTATGACAAATATCATACATAACATTGTTTAGAGACAAACTCGAAGCTTCCATAGCATTATCATATTTCACTATGAACAAAATATATATATTTTTCATATAACTATTAAACTGAATTATAGATTAAAAGTTTTCTGATACATTGATTTTCGTAAAAAGTGAGTGTAGAACATATTTACATCTATCTAGGAAATTAATAATATAAGCAATATAACTTAAAAAATAATAAAAGCTATATATTTCAAGTTTTTAGAGAGAATGAAAAGATTAAAAGAAATTCATTTTTAAGAAAAAGTTTATTTCTTTCAAAATCTACCAAATATTGAATATAATCCTCTATTTATAGATGAAGAGACCTACAATAAACAAGTCTTATTATAAACATATATTTTGAGAATGATATTTCAGTTAATCTTATCTATAATAGTACACACAATAATTTTATATCGTGTCTAATATGATAATAACACCTTATTTAAAATAATAATTTTAAGTACAATACTTAAGATTCTCACGTATATTCTGAACACATAATAATTTTACATGATATTTAATATCATAATGACATCTTATCTAAAATAATAGTTTTAAGTATAATAATTAAGATTTTTACATGCTCTAGAGACAATTAGTATAGCTGACCCCTTAGTTTAATCTGATCAAAAGAAAAGAGGTGTATTATTTTACTTTTGACCGAGTCAAACTCTCATATTAAGAATGATAAAATACCTAGACTTATACATCATCTCTTCCATCAACTCAACATTGTAATCATCTACCAAATTTTTACCTTTATGAAATTCTTCATCTAGAGGACAAATAAGGCTCATGAAATCTGATAACAAAGTCGGTTTGTCTTTAAAGAAAGATATTGTAGCCGTCCATATATCTTTCTGTGTGATAGCAAGTCAGTAACATTATATATCCTCTCTGAAAAATCAATTTTTTTTGTATTAACTCAAAAGCACAAAACGTACAATTTGGTTAAAGTGAAGGAATGCAGCCTCTCATGTTAGAGTATCACTATTGTGTCTTTCAAATTCTATGTTCGACAAAGAGGTGATAGCTGAAGCAACGAGGTTGAGTGTGCGATTTAGGTTTTTGAAATTATATTTGGGCATTTGCATTATGTGTATTTGGCTTTTCAATTTTCACCGTTTCTGATTTGTTGCTATTTTGAATGTGTAGTTTTGGTGCACACTCTTTGACGATTCGATTGGAAGCCATGAGACAAATCTTGGCTGGCAGACATTGAAGGAAAATGCATTTTGGAACCTCCCACGAGAAGACGAACCAGAGGCACAACATTATAATAATGTGATAATGAAACCCTCCCTCACTTTCTTTTTCTTAAAACACGTTTTGTATTTTTGAGTTAATAAAAAAATTAATTTACCTACATAAAAGTAGTGATATGGAATAAATATAATAAATATATGCATTTCGTTAGTCACATATAATTTGTTTGAATACAGTAGAACATTATACAATGTCGAGAATGTAACAGAAAAAAATACAAATATCAAATATGAAAAGTCACTAAATTACTGAAACAAAAATATTATATTTAAGTATTAATTAAAAATAAAGAAAAATCTTATAAGAAAACACTGTCAAAAAAAAAAAATAAGAACATTTTTATTGAAGCAAAAGTCTAAAATCACTAGTTTGAGATAATTATTATATATATGAGACACTCCTTGTCTTGCTATAAAAAAAATGAATAATTAAAAGTATGTTGTTAACTTGAGAATAGTTGAATAATTAAACAAATTAGTTAAAAGATATAAAAAAAAAACTTGTAAACACCCAAATATAAAAGTTAATCACCTATTCACGACTAGTATAAAATTTTTTTATTACTAACAACCAATCATATTTTTTAATAATATCATGTCAATTACTTATTTAATAAAATAATAATAAAATAAGTAACTTTAAAAGATATCATTAGTTGCAAGTATAAAAAACTTTACACTAACAGTGTATAGATGATTAACTCCAAATATAATCTCTTTCATTAATATTATAAATTATATATAATGTTTTTAAATAAGAAACTTTTTTTTTATGAAAATGAAAACTATTGATAATACACATTATTTTATAAAATAAACAGCTCAAATTTATATACTACAAACAAAATTACCACCAAAAATCAATGTGAATCGACATTATTATTATCGTTACCACTAATATTACTATTATCTTCATAACTAAAAGGGCATTTTTGTAATTTAAAATTTAAATCTAAAAGAAATTAACCTGGCCCACTAATCAAGCTATAAAGTGAGTTAGATAGACGAATAACGTGGACACAGATTCATTTTTCAAAATATGAATAGGTAATGAGCCTAGGATTAAACGAAATAAAATTATATGGTTGCTCAGTTTTTTGATAGGAAATAGAAGTAAAGAGTAAGTAGGTTGATACATGATTGATTGATTTTCATTCATTCAGTAGCCTTGCCTTTACGTCTGCTGGTACTGGCAGTTTCTAAGAGGTAACAAACCATAGAATCAACATCGTCCCCAAATAAGCTGTAAGCCTCGATCGCTTGGATGTAACTGAATCCCATTGTTAATAAGATCTGCATACCACTGCTAAGATGCTCTTTCCCATTATCACTGCCTGATGCTCCAGAAGATGATGGTTCAGCGTTTGAGGTTGAGGACTCTCTATCGCCAAGCGGTTGCTTAAATACTCTACTATCTGCAAGGTACTCAGCTCTAGATACTTCAATCACCATGCGTTCAATTTCCTTCTCTGTCAGCTCAAGATCCGAGTAAAACCGACCCTCAGCTAAAAGTGCCTGTTCAAACCAACATCCATCATCAAAATTCTTGTTTTGGTGTCAATACCATTACAATTTAAAATACTTACATTATTGATCTGTTGGTCTTGTTGAGCTTTAATAGCAGCCTTAACTTGATCTTTGTCAACATTTGTCTGCATCATAAATCACAAATAGCCCTTCAAACCAATTTATTGTGGAATATTAAAATAATCATAACACAGGAGAATGACTGCAACTTATGAAACAACAGGCATGACACTTACTCCACGAAGACTGCTGAACCCAAGACCAGCACCAATTGTCAAGCGTCGTGGGTCAACAAGAGAGTTGTAATGATTCCCATGATGATAACTCAATCGAATTGGTGGTGTGTCAGTATTGTAGCTTCCATGGAAGATATTGATAGGTTCTGCATCAATAGTTAATGTTATTAATATTGAAGAGTACATAATCACAACCATCAAAATTTCAGACAGAGGCTCACCAGTGGTGTAAGAGTATATGTGAATTGGACGATTATACATTTCACACATGGCTTGGATCTCAACATTGTTTCCATAGACCTGCCAAGAAGGATGAACAAGTGTTTTGCCTAAATTGGAAATTTTAAATAGCTATGAACACATTAACTAAAACAGCATTTTCTAAAAAATGTTAAAAAGGCTACATATACAGTGCATAAACAATAAATTCCATTTCATCACCCATTTTCAACTTGCAAAAATCTTATAAATAATAATTCAACCACCTTCATTTAGTTGCTTAAGGTGGCTTAAGATTTGGACAGAGAACATACAGGTTGCAGTCTTTAATACAACCCCATATAACATAGTTAAAACTATATTTCAGGTGCTTAACACAACACACCCTCTTTCCATGCATCCTTTAAATACATCCATCCAACAATAAATTCCATGAACTCTACACTTATGAGAGGACACTGCTAGTCTTTGAAATGGACTCCTTACAACACACTGTTTCAAGAACATGATACAAGCTATTTCCAAGCATCCTTTAATACATCCATCCAATGAAAAATCAGCCAATGCTAATCTATTATTGTTGACGTCATAAATTCTACAAGAGAGGCTACTGCTATGCCTTATTCTTAACCAACAAGTACAAACTTAGGCAAAACTGGTATTTCCAGGAGAAAGAAAAAAGTAAAGTAAACACAATTTACTTCACAAAATGAGAAATAGAAACACCAAAACACCAACATATTTATGCACTAAACCTGTTTTTAAGTACATTCATATACAAACCTAGTTCTACAATGAACAAGCTTACTAGCTAGAAATACGTGAAGATAATTACAAGCTGTTAAGCTTGTAAATTGAACATACTTTGCATTTGAAGTATGTTCAATTTAGAATTAAGTCTAAATTGAATCAGTGAGTTTTTCTCAGCTGATGTATTATATATATATATATATATGTATATATGTATATGTATTTATGTATGTATATATGTATATCTATATGTATATAAAGTCTATGCAAGTATAATCAAGGAAAAAGGATACAGCCTATGACCCCTGACCCAAAAGCTAGAACCAGCAAAAGGAAGCTTTGTATAGCTGTACAACATATAATAAACAACTATTTTAACAAACAAGAGGCATGGTTATAACCAACATGAGAAGAGCCAGAGTAAATTTTGATGTCCAATTCCTTCACAAGGCAAATCCACATTCAGAATATTGACAATGCAGAAACAATAAGAAAGCCTAAAGTTATACTAGGGTTTGTATAACTTCTATGGGAAGAAAGAAATAAAGTTTTATACACAATCTGACAGAAAAATAATGTCTCTATACAAGTACTAGATTGGATTATTTATAACATATCTAACTGGCTCAAACTTCAAAATGAATCTTATCTCCAGAACACTGATGTCAGAGACACTGTAATATGAAACCTTGCAAACATTTATGTCAAGCGAGGGTGAGGAAAATACTAAATAGATTACAGTTCTATCACATTCCTAGATCTTCTCTAATTGTTGGTAATCTATGCTACCGGCAAGAAGGCCCACCCAGAATTCAAGCTGTCATTCACCTCCCTCATTGCTCCATATCATTAAAGGAATGCTTTAATTATGACAGCACAAAAACTTCCATGTCATATGAGTAATGATGGCACTCAATTATTTTAACAGTCAACAACACATCGCCTACACATTAATAAAGGGGGCTAAATCTTAAAACTAAATTGACACGTCTTATTGTAGTTATGAAGAATGAAGAAAGAAAATTCTAACCAATTAATTAAATAGATGCATCTTCAAAACCAATGTGGAACATAAAGTAAAAAGGCTTAGCCTAAGACAAGTGAACATCCAACATACAGATTAACAGGCATGTTAAAGCATACAAGCATTTCAATTTTCAAGTTCAACCATCCACTACCTTTTCCACACTTAATTAAGAGGCTAATAATAGGTCCATTAGCTGAGAGCCTTAGTTAGTTAAGATAGAGATAGTTAGAAAAAGTAAATAAGGCATGTTGCTCATAAATAGGATGTGTTGGGTACTATCAATCCTCAAGTCCACAAATGCATCGGTATGCCCATGGCCATAAACCTAGTTGAGATTTGAATTTATGGCAAAAAATGTGAGAGTTCCCTCAGCTGGTATATTATTTATATATATGAACAAAAAGATACATTAATCAGGAAACTAGTCCCAGCCTATGGACCTACACACCCCTTTTGACAGATAGGGCCCAAAAAGCAGCTTTTATAAAGCTGAACAACATATAATAAACAATTGCTTTAACAGGCATGTTGCCCATAAATAGGAAGAGGGGTTGAGTGGTGTAGGTCAATTGGGAGTTAATATTGTGGCTACGAAAGTCATGGATCTCTCAAATTCTGTTTATTATTAACAGTACACTCTTTGTGGGCTTAATCTGAACCAGTTTCTATCACAGGCATACAGATTTGATAGTATAACATTCTAAACTGTTATAGGAGTAATTTGCCAAAAGTATATAAACAATAAAAACCGACCAGTTCCACACAATCACAAAAACCTAAAAATCCCAATAACTAGTTTTTTCCTTAACCCAAGAAACAACATTACCAACTATACTGTCACATACCTTATCTCTTCTTTTTCTCTTGCAGTAAGATGTGAAGCCTTCAGTTATAAACTGTGAAAAGTGATCTCTCTCTTGCTCCTGAAGATATAAATCCATAAATAATGAATCCTCTGAAGTTCAATAAAACTGCACCAATGAATGTGCATGGGAAACATCTAGGAAGTACCATTCAGCTAAATGTACATATACTTAAAACACCAGGCAGAGTCACAAAATACTGATGAACCACCAAAATGTTACAAATAACAAATGCCATACCATATTAAGAAGTTAATTCAAATAGCCAACAATTTGTCAATTGAATTAGAGACAACATATTTATAAAAAGCAAAACAAGAAAAAATTGTCCAACCATATTAAAAGCAAGAAAACAGGGTGTGGAACAATAATTTTAGGTAGTTTTACCAGTATATGCAAGTATACATGTGTTAGCCACCAGCAAACAAAAAAAATGAAGAAAAGTCACAGGACTTGTGTTAGACAACTAGAGAAGGATAGGAAGTTAAAAGTGTATTATAGGAAGAAGGGTACAAATAAGAATTAAACTTATTTGACCTTTTGACCTTTTAGAGTGAGGGACGGTAATAATTAGTTAGTGAGGCCCTCTTTAAATAGGACTGGTTTAGGTGGGGAAGGGGATGGATATTGTTTGGGTAGTATTTCCAACTGGACAGATTCCAGTGTGAAAGGAGTAGTCTCCTTTGTGTACTTTTTTTCCTTACAATCAATAAAATTCCAGGGACGAATAATTCCCTTTCTCTCTCAGTCCTCTTCGGAGCTCTAACAACTTGCTTGAATCAATTATCTGGATTGGGATCAAAAAGCTTATACTATTGTAGAATATTCCATAAAATTTTAAGTTTAGGCTTTACTCCTCTCATTTTCCCTACTGCTGCTCATGTTACCATTACCTATATTACTTCTTCCCAACCATATGGCAATCCTCTCATGAATTCTTACATCCAGATGAGGAAAATAAAACTCAGCCTCTGAAATGCATTACCAAATCCTCAAAATTTTCTTGATTTTCCTCCAAATAGTTGTCATAACTATCATTTACTACTGCCTACTGCCCAGAGATTCCAGCATGCACATACTAAAGTCCAGATAACCTAAAACGGACCATTAGTACATACACCCTAAAACAAGAAACCTAAAATCCAATATCCTAAAACATGGTAAGCCTTCAAAATACATGGTTGGACCTTTCCAAAATACATTAAATACAAATAGTTCTCCAAGAGATACAAAAGCTAAAAAAAATAAACAATCAACACTATTTGTATGATAAGATCACTAGCCATAGAAATTAAATCAGCTTATAAAATGAATAATCACAGAAGTTAATGAGAGAATTTACTTTCAGTTAGGGTAAGCAGAAGCATATACAGTATGAATATTTGCTATAAATAAAAATTAATACAACATTACCATACCATATAATCTATACACATCTGTCTGACCAAATCATACAATTCTGAGTCCCCATACACCTGATCTGCAACTGCTCTGAAAAGACAATTCCCATCCTCCATCATTTTTTTTACTTCATAACCCTTTGCCCTTCTGATATCAATTTCAAACTGCCGCTCCCTTTCCTGAGATAGATGTCAATATCAGTTTGAGTATTTACTATATATGATGATATAAAGTATCTCAGTAAAGGCTGTTGTGCAACAGAATTGCATAATCAAGGTGGACCAGAAACTTTACATGGAAAAACTTCACAAACAAAATTGTATTAGACAGCAAGCATGACGATACAACCCAACATAAGGTTTCCAACATAAGAAACATATTGTATGAATGTTCAATAATGACAAGTGTTTTCCCTGAACCCGTGTAACTTAATAAACTAATTACAACATAATACTATTCCCTATATTCTAAAAAGATAAAAACCTAGTTGACACATGCCACCATGATATTTCAATTATTTTGTATCCTTAATAGCCAGGACAAAATAATAGTATATCTATACGCTAAAAAGATAAATAAAAATAAATAATAAAAAAAAAAAAAAAAAACCTAGTTGACAGATATGCCATCATGATATTTCAATACAACTAGCTAGAAACGCCAAGGGGATAATTAAATAAACCACTTCTTATAACAGAAGAACTGGCCAAATTGGAAAATTATCTAAACCATTTCTTACTAGTCCCTTATTAGAATCAACCCACATCATGGCCTAAAAGAGAACCATATACCAAGATTAATAGCAACATTGAAATCCAAAACAGACAAAATTTATTAACTTATCAAGAGACGTGGAATCATCAACTTACAAAATCATCATAAGAGGAAACCAGGCAAGGCTTCTGTTCATCAGCACTATTGTACCCCTCACTTTCATTATGCGACCTGGGGGAAGACGGCCTAGACCCAGCAGGTGAAGTCCTCGCCGGAGGCCACGCAGTCCTCCTCGAGGATCCCACAGAGCCGGAATTCAAACCCCAGGCCACACTCCTCCTCGGGTTCAAGTTCCCCGCCACAGAAGGCTTGGGAGGCGGCACCGGAGGCGGTGGGGGGCAAGAACCAGCACCACCAACAGGGAGGGAAAAAGCATCCCCACTCGAACCCTCACTCTCCGAAACAAGTCTCTCGCCAACTCTCAGCCCACTCACAATCTCCTCCCTCACATCACTCTCCACAGCAGCAGCAGCAGCAGCAGCCACGTCATCATCACACGAACCATCACCACCACCCTGCTCAAAATGAACACCACCACCAGCAGCAGCAGCCAAAACCTCCTCATTCTTCCCCTTTTCACCGCTCTCCAAAACCTCATCGGACACGGCAACAACAACCTCCTCAGCAATCTCCGGCGGCGGCTCAGGCCGCGCTGAGGAATTGGAAGAAGAGGCGGAGGCGGAGGCGGCAGCAGCAGCGGCAGCGGCAGACCTGTTAGCGTTGGGGTTGGAGGAGGAACCCCTCTGAACCAAGACGCGAGTCATTGCAATGGGTAACGCAAAGGCAAAGGCAAACCCTAGGGCGCGTTTTGATTTCAGAGGGTTTGGATGATGAAGAGTTTATCGCGGGTTCTGGCTTTGGGCGCGGTGATGCCAATCCCTTGGAAGAAGGAGTCGTTGTTGTTGTTGCAGCAGAAGTCCTCCTCGCAAAGCGATCTCTGCATTCCCCTAACAATTCTCATCAGACCCAAGCAAGCCTCCAACTTTAAACGAACAAAACCTTTCTTTTTTTGTTAAGTAGACGGAATTTTACCAAGATTGCCGAAAATTCAAAACCCTACCCTTCGCGACCCCGACCTGCAACAATCCAAATCAAGAGCGCAAATAATAAAAAAATCTGTAGGAAAGCAAGTGGAATTGTTGTGATTGAGAAGAAGAAGAAGAAAGGAAATGGAGTGGTGCAGTGACTGACCTGAAAGAGAATTGATTGTTAGGGTTTTTGAAAAGGGAAATTAAGAGAAATGAGAATAGGGAAAGGAGAAAAGTGTGAAAGCGTTTTAACGGTGAAGAGGGAAGGGACGGCCACGTGACGTGCAGTTTCAACTCTCAACACCAACGGCCCCTCCCTCACCACCTTACACCTGGCTACCCAGACACACTTATTCGCACGTGCCTTTTTAACCCCAATCCATGTCTTAAAACAATTCTTTTCTTTTTAATGTTTAATTAAACATTAGTAAGAGATGAAATAAAACATAATACTTTTTAAAAAAATCACTCATATGTCATATAAATATAAGTAACTCATAAATTCTTAAAATATTTTATAAAAATAACATATATAATTCAACATCAAAACAAACAAAAAAAATAGAGAATGTATAATTATCTTAAAATATGTTTGAAGGAGAGATTTCAAGAGAAATCTATCTATCACTATTCAATTGAGGTTAAATTTGGAATGCCTTTTGCAATGAATGCATTAATGACACAATTTGGTTGCAAATGTATCAAGATAATTAAATGTTTCCATTAAAAACAACTTCATTACGAGCATGCCAAATCATTCAATAAGTTATGTTGAAAGAAATATAATATTTGCCTTGCATATGGTGTTAAAGACAATATGTTGGATCTTCCATGGAAGAAATCACAAAAGATATATAATGCATTGAACATCACACTTGATGTGCACAAGGACAACCATGAAGAATATGAATCCAACTTTCTTGAGTTGTTCCACACCTACATCAAGAAGAAATAAAAGAGATATGCCACAAGAAGCGAAAAAAGTTAGTAAGGAGACTTCCTTTATAGGTAAGCCAAATGAAGTGTTTGATATTTTTTTTTGATAATTTAGGTTTCTATATCAATGACCAAGACTTTGTATAAGAATGATGAAAGGTTAACTCATGGTTTAACCACTCATAAATGGATTTGATATCACAGTTACCCTAAGTTGAATGACTCCAAATGGCAACTTCAGACATGGTGCTATTAATAAAAAGGTAAAAGAGAGATACACAAACATCTTGTGAGATATTTGTAGTTAGAACATTAAAGCACCACACCCGATCAATATAAACATCTCATATTTGCAAGTGCATATCTCTTTTATGGACCCCTTCAACTCTATTATTCAAGGCTCCATCCAATGACCAAAACTCAAACCAAAAGGAGCAATCTCCCACGCCCATACGAAAATTGATGCCCCACCTCAAATGTACCAAAGCCTTCAAAACAGGTCCAAAAATAAGAGTAATCCGAAAAAAGTTTAAGGTGAAGTATAAAAGATTGATCAACATATTTGTCATGAAGCATCTTAACCCACAACTTGTTAGAATCATGTAGCAAGGTCCAACAATATTTCCCAAGTAATGTTTACTTGCTAGCATTTACAAACACCTAGACCACCTCGAGTGTAAGGATCGGAACTAATAATCGAATCCACCCAATGATTATGATATCACAGTGAAATCATAGTGGCAAATGACATTATGAATATAAATGCATTTTATCAATCCCACACCAATTTCAACATGCACAAACCACAAAGCTACAATTTTGTGCATGTTTGATTTCATATTAGATTATTATTATTTAATAATCATATTATTGTATAAAGTTTTTGCCAAATTCGTTGATAACTAATTTTCGTCAAATTATTTTTAGTGAAATCTTTTTTTCTAACAATGTGTATATTAGATTATTTAGAATCACGTTGAAATGAAATTTAATATACTCTTAAATATTCACATATTTAGTTTTGCACTTTAACCTCTTTTTAAGAATAAATTATTAAATTACTATTTTTTATTCATTTTTTGTTAGGACTTAAGCATATTAAGGGAGTCTAACTCAAAAGATTAGTTCATTAAGTGGGAAAGCCTCAAGACTTAAGTACTACATTGAGTTTCATATTCTATCCAATGTAAGGCTCTTAACATTATTAATTCTTTTAAGGCTCAAAGTCCACGATGACTTTCACTGTATCAACATTGATCCGATGATAGTTATTTTCTCTTTGACGACTTCACTCACCTATCATTATTCGATTTGCACCTTAATTTAGCTTATAGGTATCTCTTTACCTAACCCAACTCTCAATGAAAGTATCAATTGTTAGAACTTAAACACATAAGGAGACCTCAATCCAAAAGACCAGTCCATTAAGTGAGATAACATCAAGACTTAAATATCACACTAAACTTCATATTCTACTTGATGTGAGATTTCTAAAAGTTTCATAAAAGTTTTTTCTATATATTTTATCATTCTTAATGTGAACTGTGTTTTGACATCATCCAATTCAACCAATTGACTAATTGAATCATTTGAACCTGGACTATAAGTTTCATTCAATCAACTAGTATTGTTTATAATTGTTAAATATGTCAATTTCTATTAGAGTTAAAATATGTCAACTAGTATTGTTAATTGAATTTAGATTTTTTTTAAAGAACTTAGATTTTCCCCTAAAAGAATTAGGGTTAAAATATTTTGGTTGATTGTTAAATTAACTTGATAATTAATGAAATTGAGTAATAATTGAGGAAAATACATGTGAAAAAAGTTAGTAAAATTAATTCATAACATCTTTTTATTGTAAACTTTTGGTTATCTTTTCAATCTTTTTATTATTCTAAATCACTAGAAATACGTTCTTTTTTGATATTACATTCTTCAAACAAATCCATCCTTTACTTTTTTCCAATTGGTATTAAATTAAATTAATTTATTATAGTGCAAGTCTTTGTAAATTTGATACTTGAATTTCTATCCATTTAATTACTTGCAACAATTGGTACATTTGTCAAAAAACCTAATACTATTTAAATTTCACTAACAACATTGGTGTAAGAAGTTTTGACAAGATAACAATACATGTTCTCTTCATATTATTTACGGTACATCAACCTCGATATATTAAACACTAATAATTATCTTACGTGATGATATTTTAGACATGAAGAAAATATTTTTACAATTTTATTTTAATATATTTAATTAAGTTTTTTTTATCATATTTATTTATGAATTAAATTATATTTATAATATAAATTATTACTAATAAAAATTAATATTATATCATAATATAAATTATTTATCTTAAATATAAAATAGAATATATATTTTTAAAAATATCTATTTATACAAACTTTAAATATAATTTATATATTCAAATATTATATTTATTTATATATACCACTTCATGTTCTTATTGTAAAATACGACATAGACTAATACAAATAATTATATTTTATTAAATTTATAGAACAAAATCATAATTTATCAATTTTACCTTTCTTACTCATCATTAAACTTTCATGAGGTAAAGATATCTTCCTATATCAAAACTTATGCATCAATATTAACAAAAATGATAAATGTCAATTAGAGAGTTTAAAAAGTGAAACAAAAATACATACTCTTTTGATTTAATATTTTTTAAAACTATAAAATGCCTTATAAATAAAACCATTTTTTTTCTAAACTGTCTTAAAATAAAGACCAAAAAAAGTATATAAATAAAGACCAAAAAAAGTATATATATATATATATATATATATATATATTTATTTATAAATTTTAGTTATAAGGTATATATAATAAACACGTGCTAAATTAGTGGTTGGTTTGGTTAAGGGTAATTTTTTTTCTGATCAACGACGAGGCGAGTTCATATTTCAAATTTCGAATTACCTTAAATTTAGGTCATCATGTTTGCTGAAGTATAGGAATAGACGTTAACATTTCAACAAGGAAACCAAAGCTAAGATACCGGCAAATTAATTAAAACAGTCAAATTAAATTCTGTCAACAACTTGGTATTTTCAAACTAGTTTTGTAAACATTAATTTATTTCCCACTTTAGAGTGAACCGAGCCTCAGATCTTCAGCTTAAATTTGCCTGAATAAACATATAGGCGGCATTTCATTGCCGAAGATAAATATGGAATTAAAAAACAGACAACGAATAGAAGGGAAATTTTGAATAACTAATTCATCTGCCTCATTCTTTAAAATGCCAAAAACATATGCTTACTTTACATTACACATTCAAAATTGCTTGCTATGGTGAAAATTATTACATGCATACCGTCTGTATTTCCTATTCATGGTATGAATATATTATGTATTGGCAATATCTTCTAATCAAACAAATCGTAACCCAATTTAGACAAACAAATAATTCCATTCCGTAAAAATTATGTCATCAACCTCAAATCGCATTCTATACCTTCAGTTTCCACCCTCGGGCAGCAAGCGCTTCATGAACCTTTTTGGCGGCATCAGCAGTATCGGTAAGGGGTGGATAACTCCAACTTTCTGATATCTGGAATTTTAAGTAAAACATATACCAATTACAAAATATACATATTTGACAATATAGGTTCTGTTTGATACATATTCCAGAACATAAAATCCTTCCACAATAATTTTCAATCCTTGTGTTTGATACAAAAATGATTGTGTTCTAACTTACATCCTCAGAACCTGTAAAAGGCCGAACAACTCCCAGCTCTCTCAATGATTTGTGGAATTCAGTGTACTTCCATCTGCAACGCTCAGCTCCTAGGACATAAACAGGCTTCCTGGGGGTAGAACAAAATATTTTGATAACATAATATCACATACTTGTATTAACAGCAATTAAATAAAATTATTCTAATAATAGAAATACTTCTATACAAGCATACCCAGTGCTGCAAGCTTCACTTATCATGCTAACGGAATCGGCTGTGACAACAAATGCATCAGCCCAAGCTAAATGGCCCATATGCAGGTTAGGTCCTGAAAGTTGTGTTACTGTCAGGTTTATCTGTTGAAACAAATTTTAAATATCTGAAATGAAACTGGAACAAATATTTACCTTGCCCATCCCAAATATAAACTTTTGGATTATTCCCAAGTTCTTTCACTATAATATTGGACAACTGTTTAGAAGAGCAAAGAGGAAGAAAAAGTGTGTAAGAGATGGATACATTGCTCAGTGATAATATTTAAGAAACTTCAAGGAATGAATGACTATACCTTCTGTGGAGTCCTCTCTGAAAAGGATATCCTAACACTCCCACAACTAGCAAGAACACTGAGCAAAGAAGCTACTAACTGCTTGGCAAGGTCTACACCATATCGACAGTTTCCTAAATCAATTATGGACATCAGTCAAATTACCGATTTTTTTTTTGCCGTGAAAATTATTAAGGGAAAACCTTTTTTGTTTCCCAATTTTTAGTGACATAAAATAATTAAATTCACAATAGAAATTACTCGTTGGTCCTCCAATGTTGACAACAAGCAAAGGCCTTGGAACATGCGCAAACTCATCATGCCAAGTAACAGCAACACTACGTATTGAAGTGAAATCTATTTGATGTAGCGCTCCCATGGTGAGAACCTGAATATACATTTCCACATAATAGTCATCACTCATCAGCAATTGACAGTTGCCAACATTAAAGTAAAATCAGCTTCTCCAGAAAAGCAAAAAGCTATCTACTTTCATATAATATATGCACATTATACATACCACATGACAATCTGGAGGATCACGAGGAGTTATCCAACTTTGAAGAAAACGAGGAACCTGTTTCTGTCCCTCTGGTGTCAAAGGATAATAATCATGCTTAGGCGTAATCACCATGTCAAACCTATTCAAATGTAATCTTGGATGCTGTATCTGGTCATGAGACAAAAGACAATCAAAGAGATAAAGATTAAAAATTAGAGTAAATGTTTTTATACAATAATGAACATCATTGCAAAATACAAGTACAATAACACAGCACCATAGATCAAAGAAATTTAGACAAGATCAAAGATACTAGCATTTGTTGTAATCAAAGCATATAATTTTTTCTGGGGGATATAAGAAAAGATATGTATCATTTAAAGCTAATTTGGTTCATGATTAAATTAAATTAGTCTAAAACAATCACATCCTCTTGAACTTAACATATATACAATATAAAGCCCACAATTTTAGAAATAACTTGAATGTTTTAAATTGTAAACTGCATCAGACAACGTAATCATGATAGTGTGTTTATGGTAGCCATCACTTTGAGAACACAGACTATAGCAGGCCATATCAGCCTGCAATGATAAAATGCAACCACAAACAAAACGACAAATAGATTTAAAACATTGAATGCGATAAACAAGTAAAGAAAATAAAGTACAAGAAATAGAAGATCACAAGGGAAAGAAAGCATAGATGTAACAGACTTTTGTTGGATTTTGTAGCAAGATCATGCCAGTTGGCAAGGAATTGTAAACCAAGACTGTTTTAAAGATTGAAAGAAGAATGAAGAATTTCTAACCTATTACTCCTAGTCTTTTGGAATGCATTCACAATTCCCACTTTTGTCAATCACCAGCTCAATTTCATTCTTAGTTAATTTAAAGGCATTAAGCCTATTTTTATTCCACCAATAGGTTTTCATTATAATAAAGCCAACTAAATTAAATATAGCATATAGGCATGGAAAGAATATTGATTATTTTCATAAATGATTGTCACAGAAAACATGTTGACGAGAGAAGTATATTGTTATTCCAAAATTATATCTCTGCATACTCTAAATTGCATAATTTACAAGATTAAGATATGATAGCAAAATTAAATACAAGAACAATATGCATGAAGTCTTCAAACCTGAACAACAAAAACATTCTCAGAAGCTAGACGTTTTATGGAACTTGCAGTAGAAATGGTATCTCTCCCACATGCGACAACCAACAAAGGTCCCTCCCTGGAAAAAAATATCAATCATATCATTCTTTGTAAGTGGCCAAGGAATCTGTTGCAGATGAAGATACAAGAAAGCGACTAAAGAATGAAGGAAGAAAGTACAAAAACATGAATTGAGAGACTAATATTACATCGATATGAGATTCAGAATAATGATTAGATTTGTACAGTAAATCAACAATTGACAATATTAAGTTTTGGGCCAGAGCATCACAACAGGCACACACAAGCATGTCTTATCATTAATGCACTGGCAATCTTGTAAATTCCAGTAGATGTTTTTGTTTTATAAACTAATTATTGTGACTTAAAAGAAATAAATTGTCAAATAAATTATATCAAGCATCATATCAGGTATACTGCTAATGTTAGAAGGAAGTTTATTGCTCTGAACAAGTAAGATTATTAATGGCAAAGCCACTCACCACTCATACATTTGAATCATTCTCCATCAAGAATTAACAAAAAATTAAAATAAAATAAAAAAGTCACAGACAAACTATACACATCAATGACATCATTTTACAGAGAAAAAAATAGAAACAGAATTTACTTCTCATAAGTTTCACGAGCAAAACTAACTATCTGCTTTACATCAGCTTCTAAGACAGCTAACAAGCCTGCACTGACACCATTTTCTGAAGGTAAAGGCATAAGCTTCTTTGCCTGAGATTTCAACATAAGCTGAGAATAACCGCGAATCATTCTTACTATATAATCTATTTTTTTATGGAGAGAGACTGGAAGCCATTGAAGCCACTCATTAATTCCCCCTTTTGGCCTGGTGACACGCTGCAATAAGTCAGTGATAAAAAGATGAGTGAACTCATTCAGAATTTAAGAGGTGCTTACAATTTCAACATAACAAAATATAATGCTCAGGGTTTTGAAAATTATTAAGGAATAGCCTTAGCATAGGCACATAGCTCACATAACATGTGTTGGTTGCAAATAATGTACGTCGGCAACGCCTTATTGCAATGGTATTATGGTAATATCTCACTCAATTCCTTTCTCTAAAAAAAAAAACAAATAAGAGAACATTTACTTAAAATAAAATTTTTATCGTCTTTCCATTTCCTCCAAACATAACCTAAATGGAAAAGGCACCAAATAGTGATACTAGGCAAAGAAGGAAATGATGTGAATCAGATGCTACACCAATAAAGCTATGTAATTTAGTATGAAATCAGATACAATTTAGTATAATATATCTGGTAGAAATCTCATTGTCTTTGGCCCAAGGAATTTTTCTTTTGGAAGGAACTGACATGAATAGTTATGTTTCTAAGCTACACCTATTACCCAATTTGACTTGCATAGATCCATATATAGATGGTGTTTTCATTCAATAATTTACTTGCTTTTAAACATAGTTACCAGGCATGCATTATATGATATTTGTATTTTGTACAGGTACGTGATTGGCCACTTTTTACATTATTATTACAAGACATTCTAGATACAACCTGTAACACGGCACATGGTACAGTAAATTCTGTATGAAGTACCTAGGGTTATTGACAGAACCAGATAACTGTGTATTTTATACTTCTATATGGTACAAAATTCGTTCACAACTCATCTTCTAAGTTCTAACAACACAACTCTATCCTCTATGCTAGGATGGTTTATAACATCCAACTTTCCCCCTTTTGGTTTTCACATTTCCACTTTGCCCATGGCCCAACCTTACTATAATTTGGTCCCTGAATTTGAAAGACAATGTTATATTAGTAACTAACACTAAGAAATTGTAACATTAGACTTTAATATCAAATAAGCTCTTAAACTTAACTACTTACTGTCATTTTTTTTTTTCTCAAATATATATCAATATCATCACTTTGGCCACACATTTATTTGATTTCTGGACTAATTCTACAATTTCTTAATTTTAGGAACTAATATGACAGTGCCTTACGAATTCTAAGATCAAAGCGAATGTTTAGTCTTTAAGAAAGAGTAGACTAAACCTTCATTTCAGTCCTCCCTCGGTCAAATTAGTCCCTAAAGACATCAACTCAGGACTAACCTGACCAACTGAAATGCATATATCAGGGACTAACGTGGAAGTTCTCATCTTTGAGGGATCAATAGACTAATGCTACATTTTTCAGTCAAATATTTTACTACTTACTGTTCTAAATATCATAATATCCACAGACATGCCACTTCTAATTGAAGTCAAATGCAAAGTTAAAAACTAGACTAGCAATTTTACTCAGTTGCTATGTTAGTAGTGCGAAGAACTAGTTGCGGAAAAACTAAAAAAGTTTATCTACTCTTACATATAAGATTTGCTTATCAGAGAGGCCAAGGGCGCGAACCAATCCGACGCTCTGATTCTCCGATGCGGCGGAACCGTTGCCGATGACGACGGCGCGCCTCACGAACGTGTGAACTCCGGATTCGAAGATATCCGGAGTGCTCCTCCGTGCGGTAGGGCTTGGTGGCTCGGGAAGCTGAATTCGTCTCATCGATTCGCACGAAATATGCACACAGGTTGTTTCAGTTCGAAGTTATCGAGCATGAGTTTTCTGGAGAAAGTGAAAGAAAAGAAAAGAAAAAACTTTTGATTCCCGCAGTGCCAGAGTCGTAAAAGAACCTTGCAAGTTTTGCCTATTAAACAAATTCCCGGCAAAAGAAGAAACTGAACGGCCAAGGCCCATGGGCTGAAAGCCCAATCCAATATCTTTCTTTTGTTTGCATCACACGGTCCATGGTAGAAACTATATTATCTCTTTATTAATGTCTTAAAAGAAAAATATAAATGGATTCTTATTCTTGTAGTTTTAAATGAAGTTTTCATAGGAATATGAAAGTAATAAAAAAATTGGAATAGTAAATTTAACGTTAATTTAAGATATCATTAAAAAAAAAAACTTGTTACTTTTTAGTTACTATGGTTGTGTAGCTTAAATGGGAAGCATGGACTTTTTGTTGTAATCAAATTTAATTATAATAACTCATATTTTTAGAATTATACTCTAATTGAAATTAGGGTTTCACTTTAATTACTAAAAAAACTCAATTTTGATGAAAAAATCAATTTGCTTGAAAATTGCAGGGAAAACTTTATTTTGTTATATAGATCATGCATCACAAAACTCTGCATGAAGTACAACTGGTTGGAAGCTGGCATGATCAGAACTTATTTAGATCTTCTCATTGAACCATTATCATTCATCACAAAGGAGAGAAATAAATAACATAAATAGATGACATCCAAGCATGAGACTTATTTAAGAGTTATAAAGTTACAAGCATGGTTGTTAAACTCGCGAGTCAACTCGTAAACTCGTACAAGTCTACGAGTCTAGGGTAGCAAAACGGGCTAACTCGCGAATAGACTCCTTTTTTGGTAGACTCGGGCTGACTCGGGTAGACTCGGTCAGAATCGCGATTCTGATGCCGAGTCCACGAGTCTAGTTAGGTTTTTTTTTCCACCCCTAAATGCCCCCAAAATGACGTCGTTTTAGCTAGGGTTAGTAAGTGAAAATGACATTTTTCCCTTCGCGCATGATGCCTCTACTATTCTCGCGAGTCTGATCTAATTTCTCTCCCTCCGCCGCATTCATCTCTGCCGCATACGAACGCGCATCTCCTCCACGTACGAACGCCACCGCATACGAACGCCAGCGCATCCTCTTGCTGGGAGAGGAACGAGTCCAATTAGGAAGGAAGCTCGCGAGTCTGATTTCCCTCCCTGCATACGAACGCACTTTTCGTCATTGCAGCTTCCGGCGCCGTCGTCGTAGCTTCCGGCGTCGTCCCTACAGTTTCCGACGAACACCCACCGGTCGAGTCTCTCGAGTCTGACAACCTTGATTACAAGTAATTAAAAGCTCATTTTACTATTATCAAAAAAGAGTTGCGCTTTTCTTTTGTGTATACAGGAAACTTTGAGCTTATAAATGATTAAAAACAAGTAAAAGTAAGGTGGAGTACGTCTAAAATATGTCATGTTCAACTTTTGTGTTTATTTCACTTTGATAAATACTAATATCTCTCTTTGATGTTGAGAAGAAAATGACCCGCATGTCGCATTCATGAGGAGAAAAAAATTGTTTGATAAAATTAAAAAATGATTTCGAATACTACCTATGCGAGTCATTAAATGTGTATTATTTTAGTTATGAGTTATTCCTACCATCCATTTTAAATGCACTTTGAATATTACAATTGTTGTTGCACAAATTGGATAAGAAAGTAAGAGAAAAATGATTAGATCCTGCGGTTCATGGCAATTGTTTCGAAAGGGCAAAAATGGATGTTGAATTTGGAGCGAAGAAGGTGAATGACACATGTGCAAAGCAACAAGGTTAAAGAGGCCCAGGAGGGAAATTCACATGGTTGAGACTCTAAACTTATTTTCGACACATGTAACCGCCAATGCATGAATCCGCCACCAAAGTAGTACTCATCCATAAATATATGCAGTCCTAGACTCTTAAACGTTGAAGCAAGATATGAATTCCACCCACCTTGCCACAACTTAAGCTGACATCACACCTCTCTCTCACAGTACAAACTCTAGTTTTCCTACTTTTGCTGCATTTATACTACCAAATTTGAAAACCCATAGCTTCTCATCATTTATATTTAGCACTACAGTGTTCACCATGATCATGGCGTCAGGGTGCCCACCGTTTTATCCGCTCCACCGCATTACGGTGGTGCTCCGCCATCTTCGCCAGTCTACCTGGCTGACCCACCTCCATCGCTACCACCCACATCCCCATAGTCGCTACCAGGTGGATCGGCTCTTTCGCCACATTGATCAGCTCCAAAATTATATCAGCCGCCACAGGCTCCTCCCTCCCATGGTGAGTCACCGTCCTCGTCCTCCTCGCACTCCCAACCACAACAACCAGGAGCAGGTTCTTCAACTTTACCACCAGTTTGTGGAACTTCGAAGGATCCACCAGCACCAGCTTCGCCAGTCACTCACTAGAATCCGCCACTGCATAAGGCCACTCCGACAGTACCTCGTTTTTTACCAACCAGACCAGCTCATACGCTACCACCAAAGCATGAATATCCTCGACATTTTCACCACCCACCTGTGAAATCCACCTTCAAACCCAGTCAATTCTTCTGCATTACTGTCATTAAAGGCTCTCATTTATCGGCTCCATCAACTCAATAAACTCATGCATAATATGTAGAATTCACTCTAGTTAACTACTGAATTTCAACAGCTTCCGCCTACAGACCACCCTCAGACTCAGTATTGTTTCTATACAATGTCTTGATTGTCTCCGGGCAACCTCATTATGCCCGTCTCTGATGTATGGAAATAATAATTATAGATACTGAAATTTCATTGCATATGCAGACTAGTATTTCTGGATTTCATTTGCACCTCATGATATGCTTGAATTTTTATATTGTGACATGTCTCTTCTTCCTTTGTGGCTTTCTGTCTTTCCAAAATTTCCGTAGCAATACTACTTTCATGATTAATCAAAATGTATATGGATGCATAGATACAAGAGATATAAACATAAAGTGCAGTAATTTAGATTTCTGGTGTAGCAGAGTACTCGGCAAGTGTGGATCATGCGTTTTTTTAAGGGGGGGAGGGGAAGCCCATACATTGTGCTTCACCACCGATACTGCAGGACGCATGACCATGTTTACACTAAATTATTTGTGTCGCTAGTAAAAAGACTACTATTATGGAAAAGGAAAACCTCGAGTCATAATGTAAAACATAGATCTATTGCCAGAGAAGCAACAGACAGAATCAGGCTTTATTATTTGTATTAGGATTGATGTTAATTCTCATTCAACTGAAATACTTTCTATAACCATTACTGTTTACGAATTATAATCCTATTAATCATGCAAGTTATTGTAGATCTATTTCACAACCTGCTATGTAGCCATCATCCAACAGATTCCATGGCAAGATTGTTCATCATTCTAGCAAAGATTACAGTACAGTGTGTAAAATATTGACAATATCAAACCTGGAAGAATCCGTGGCAAGTCCAAAGAGTGAAATGCGTAATCAAGCAAGATCCTTTCAAGTCATCCTTTCTATTTAACTCCATGTAAGATAAATGTCCACGGCTAACAGTTTCTTGAAGAAGTATTAGACTGGAATTAAATGGCATTTATACAAGAAAGTAAGAAAGCTTATTTCCCTGATGGGAGTGCCTCCAATCCATGAAAATTGTCTCATCTACTTTGGGTAAAGTAACGTGAACAACTTCTGACACCCATGGTTTCTTGGCTTATACTTATAAAGTAGTAAAGCCCCACAAATCCATTGGCACAATAACTTAAACATCCTTTCAACTCATCCCAGTGATCGCCCAGAATTGAGGAGTCGAAAAACTGGTGTTTGATTTGCCGCATTTCTGCCTCTGTAACACAATCAACATTTCTGTTTCAGTTTGTTCCGGACAGGAGGTAAAAAATTTGCACATTATGCATACTCCTATGACAGATATTCTCTTTTAATTCAGCCGAACAAATCCCATTACCTCACCAAGCAATTATCATACCACATGCTTTTATTTTTTGCCTAATTTGAAACTTGTGGATCGCTTCTTCCAACTATGTTGATTTACTATTTTCCAGTAGCTTTAGCTTCTTTCATCATCACTGGTCACCAATATGCCAATTTACACAATATCTGCCTTCTAGGCAATGTATTATCAACTTATATTAAATCATCATACTAATGGAAATGTAGAACGGTCCACAACTAAACGAACAGGGAAATTATCACTTTTAACTCTAATATAATTCTTATTTAAAAAATAAACTTGGATTATGATAGATAATAAAAATCCACATTTACAGAAGGATGGCCCATAATCACAGAATAGTACCTTATCAGGTTGCACCGCGAATTATATAATACAGAACCATGAAGAACATAAACAAGAAAATACATATAACTGTTTCTGAATCCTTGATCAAATTTATCCATTCAGCTCATAAATTTGAATCTGGAATACTAAAGTGTCCTCCGATGTACATATTGACAGGAACGATCTGATAATTGCAGAGCTCAGAAAAGAAATGAACAGGCAGGAGTGACCAATTAGGATCTGCAGGACGGTAGAGTGATGCCTCCACAACAAGCAGCGATTATTAAATAAAGAATGATAACAATCAAGACTGTCAATAAGGCCCTGTCAAAGACAAGAAAACACAGTCAAGGAAAGGATAGAAGAAAAGGGCAAAAAAATACTCAGCCTTACGACCTTTAAATCCAATCAAAGTTTGGTATCTCGGATCTAAAATGTATACTTATAAAGTCTTTATATTAAGCTTATGAAAGAAATTTTACTCACAGGAGTTTAAAATTTTTCATCCAAAGAGCTCTTCTAAGGCGCTTCGACTGTTTCCTAAAGTGAAATGTACTGTCTTGCATTGTTGCTGTCTTATCAACAAGAAGCTCGATCCGATCACCTCTCTCCAATATTTTCTCAATATTGTCCACCATGATAGTGCGTATCTGTATGATAGATTGAAAATTTCAATGTCAGCAACTATGGGAAACTAAGCTAAGGGACAGGATGCATGATGTAAAACATCAAAAGAGTAAATACTAAATAACATTACAGCATCCATACAACTTGAAATCCAGTATAATGCTCTTCAGAAACATGTTTGCAAAGCAATCAATACGAAATGATTTCCAGGAAAATAGGTGGATAATTTTTCTATCAAGCATTCTTGCCTATCACTCCTTGGGATGAGCCAAGGAACTTATAAAGGCACGGGAACATTCAAAGTCAATAGGTATACCACCTCTACTTAGCTGACCAACTTTCTATATACATATATCCAATACGTAATGACTCATATGATGGAATTCAATTTTTTTTTTGAAGGCAAAAACAAATATACATCACGTTTGTGTTTTTCTTTGGTCCCAAAAACCAAACTTCTCACTTTGTGCTACATAAAAAAAAAAATGGCGAGGATAAACAAGAAAGATAAAAATAAGGAGGAACAAGAGTTTTCCTTGAAATGTACTTGCCTCACCAACTTCACCCCTCACACGATTGAGGGTATCAGCACTAGGATTACTAGAAAAGAATTCCATTTGCTGATGCAAAACCCTTGAAAACTCGTCATTCATTGCATAAGCAGGAGCATAATTGGCAACTCTACCGTAGTTCTTCATAAACCTCATTTGGATATCTTCCAAGTACGAGAAAGGGATTCTCCCTGGATAAAAAAGAAAATGGGTCATAGAAGCACTTGAAAACATAAATGAACACTAAAACAGCATGATTGTACTTGGACCACAACTTTTTTAATGATTGCTAATTATTGTTGATGATGAGAAATATGCTAATCCTCTAAATCAGTTTTTACAAGAAAAAAAAAATTAACAACAGCTTTGACCAGTAAAGATTAAATTGAGGAACTATGTCTGAAGGAATATTGAAAAACATTAGCAAAATCAATCTTCTCTAGCAGAAGTTTCTAGATATTTGGAGCCTGACCCAAATAGAGGTATAGGTTTATCAATTGTGGGTTTAAAAGGTCTAAGTGTGTCATTGGTTTGGCTTAATTTGGAGGAATAATCAATAGATTTCGCCATCTTCATGACAGAGCCTCTGAAAAATAAGTGACTGCTTTTCCAAAAATAATCTATAACAATAACACAGACATGCACTTACAAGCAATAGGTCATAAGCATATGTCTTCCTATCCATTATAAGCGTATGATTACTATACTTGTTGATAGATTTAGAAGTCATTGGCTGATTCCTTGTTTAGAACAAATCTGACATACCTAATAGTGAAGAGAATAGTTGAAAATCTCTTTCTAGTTAAGGAGTCAATAGAGCATGACAGAAGACTGTTATATCAAATCTTATGTAGTTAAAAGAGGCCTAGTATATCCCACTCCCCTCTCCTCTGCCTTTTTGGTATAACATTAGCTCTGTATCATTTATGCATTGACAGGAAGTGCATTCATGCAGAAAGATTAATGGTTAGTTTCAAATGTCACAAAGCATAGCATACTCTTAAATATAATTAAGATTTGCAGATGATATCATAATATTTACACTTGCAAAACAGACCCTACCAGGATTACCAAAGAGACACAATAATTAAAACCTTAATTATCTTTTGGTGATCTAGGCATGCATTAGTATATACAAATAAGGAAACTTCAATTAGGAGTAAGCTACAAAGAAGCAAACTGATAAACTTAACACAAAAACAAAGGGAAACCCTTTGTGTTTCAAACAGCTCATTTGATGCAGTAAAAGACTTGTATGTGGGAGATGATACTTGGCCTCTGACTGAATCTGGAAGCCTTGTTGGAGTTCATTATTTGTGTGCACGACTATCCACCAACAAGAATTCCTCTCATTTAAGAAGCTATAGTTATGCAATCTCACACAGTTAAGATATCAGCGGTTTAGTACTTTAAGATGCATTAACTGAGTTAGTCATCGACTCAGCATGTCACTGCTGGAAATCTTAAACAATAGGGGAACTCATACTAGGAGCTTGTCAGTCCCCAACATTCAGTTGAAGCTACAAACGACTCTCAAGAACAGCACTCTTCATAACAATTGAATTTCCAAGTGGATGAAAAACTAACACAGAAACAAGCTTGCAGACTCCAATCACAGCGTTGTTCGATTTAATAGACCAACGCTAATGATTTTTATTTGTTTTTGCAATACTTTCATTCACAAAGCAATAAAATGCAAAAACACTCCCTGTTCTAAAGAACAATCATCTATAATTAAAGCTATCTAGGCGTCTGGCCAAACCCTAGGGTTTAATTTTTTCCTTCTCTTTGAAATTTACCTTACACATACTCTCAATTTCGGTTATGTTTCCGTGAAACGACAATAAGAGGTTATGTAGAATCTTTCGTCCAAGCAACACTACGCATCTCACTCACAAGGAGTTCAAACCAGCACCTAACACACGACACAACTCCTGAGTAGATCCTACGTTTAACTGAAAGCGAACCGAGTCGAATAACGAATATATTAAAGATTGCGATAAAGAAAAAGAAAAAAAAAAGCATTAACGGCGAGAAGAACTCACTTCCGAAGGTGTCGTTGGCCATACAGACGTAGGTGATGCCATCGGATCGGAGTATGTGAAAGATGTAGCGATCCTGAGAGAAGCAGAGCCTGGAGTCGGACTCCGCCGGGAGCTTCTCGAGGATGCGGCGAGCCACGGCGCCGGTGTTTCCGGTGACGGCGCTGAACTCCGCCAGCACCACGGTGCCTCTGGCCACCAAAGCGTAGAAGATCGCCATCGGCGAAGAAGGTTCCAGAAGATCGGGGAGAACGTTCTCTGCGGCTCCTCCCTCTCTAGCTAGATCTTCGACTTCGCATTTGAAAATCAGAACGAGATTGTTGTTATCGACACAAAACGTGGAGAACTTGGGAATGGGAATTAGTAACTATTATTTTATTTTATTTTTATTATAATTCTTAGTATTTTTTTGGTTTTTACTGGTTAGGTTAAATTTTTTAATTAAATACGGTGGTTCTGGATTCCATCGGTAGGCCACGTACCGGTGAGTCTACGCCTCAACGGTGGTTTCAGCAACAGCGAGAGCATTCGACGCACGTGTTACTACTTGGTTAGGGGAAGTCATTTTCAACTAGTCAGAGGATAAGTATGAATAAATAAATAAATATTTTTTAATGTGTATATCAATATCTTCCTCGATTCTTTGATAAATTACTTTTATTTTTATTTTCTAAAAATATATTTAATAATATATTTTGTATCGGGAAAAACCCAAGTCCCACGTCGACTAGAGATTAGACAATTGAATAGTATATAAGTGGAAAACAACCCTCACCTTACAAGCCGGTTTTGTAGGGTTGAGTTAGGCTTAATCTACTATTCTAACATGGTATTAGAGCCATTGATGCATGCTTCACAGGCATGAGGGGGTGTATTGGGAAAAACCCAAGTCCCGCCAATCCTAGATCATTAAAAAGGATCACCTACCATTTATCCACGTACCAAGCCCAATAGTGCTGGACGTGAGGGGGTGTATTGGGAAAAACTCAAGTCCCACATCGACTAGAGATTAGGCAATTACCATGTTAGAATAGTAGATTAAGACTCAATCCTACAAAACCGGCTTGTAAAATTTATTGCTTAATTCTATTCATATCAGCATAATGTTAGTAAGTATGTTAATAAAAAAATTATATAAATTTCACATATAAATACGCTGGCTTCTTATTTTAAAATGTATAAAAAGTGTAAGAATACTATATATATCATAATAATAAGAGCTTATGGAAATAGTATAAAAAATGGCGCTGTAATTTTTTTCTTTTTTGATTGGAATCCAGTTGCTTAGGCACCACCACTAGTACTACTAAATAATAAAATATAAATGATAATTTTTTTAATCCATATAATTTAAAATAAAATTTTTAATTTTTATACTTATAATTTTAATATCATTTAATTATTATCATTTTTTTAATATTATTTTCTTTATATTGACATGACATATATCGTATAATATGTGAATTTAACGGATGATTCACTTCACATTCATGGTATAAAAGTTACAATAGATAACTTTGAATTTGACGTGAAAAATTACATCTCTAATAAGTTACTAATAAGTTATTAAAATTTTGTGAAAATAAAAAAAAATATGTCTCTATATATGTGAAGATATAAAAGAAATACAAAATGTAAGAAATTTAATTTAACGTAATTTCATTAAAATAAATTTAATATCAAATATAAATAATTAAATTAACATTCTTATTACGCTAATATGGAACAAATAACGTTAAAAAAAATAATGGTGGAATAAAATATTAAAAATTATAAATATGAAAATGAAAAGGACCTATCTTAAATTATAAAAAAAAAAAAAGTCAAATAGAAGAATTAAAGAGGTTTATTTAATTTGAACTAAAAAGAAATACAGTAAGTAAAATTATAAAAGCTAATTAACATACATATTAGCCTTAAACATTTTATGAAATATATAAATATATGTATATGCCTATGTTGGTTAGCGAATGTTGGTGTGATATTTGAATGGATGAGGTTTGTTTGAGTTAGCTAGAGGCTAGAGGGAATTAAATTGTTCCCATTCGAATTCCCAGAGCGGTTGTTGGAGTTGAACCTCAGTATTAACATTTAGGTTCCAAACTAAGTCTCCACCCTCTGCCACCTGAAGGCTATAGACTCCACCCAAGTGAGAATTCTGAGATGAACTGGATCCATCCTCTCTTGCCGTTTGCTGCGCCACAATTCTCTGCGACTCTGCTCCTTCCCTCTCTAGTGGCCGTCGATCAAATGCTCGAAAGCTTCCCGATATCACATACACCCGACACAAGCTGAATTCCCTTCTCAACTAAACACCAAAACATTTTAAACATTATATCACTTAATATAATTAAGATAACATTTAAAACATAAGTTTGATAGATACCCGAGGGGTGGATTGATTGGAGAATTCAATGGCTCTATACTCATTCATCTTCCATTCAGTTTTTGTTCCCAAGGGAGCTTTCCCTTTGTAGAAGACCATGGATTTCTTCATCCCAATGACTCTATTATGAGAAGAGTAAACGTAGCCAGGGGAGCCCGTGGCCTTCCAGTACCCACAAGCAGTGGTTCTGCTGGGTCTGCCTCCCCTGGCTTCTCTCTCTTGACCGGGACAAAAGAAAAACCATTGCTCTGTGTCCCCGCGACAACGCTCCCCAGCATGTGCTACACATTGCAACAAACTAAACCATCACAAAGGCTCACAAATATAGTATAGAGGGAGAATATTTTAACCAAAACAAACTCTAACAACTTATTTATCGTACTTGGAAGGTTCCACGGCTCAACACCATTGATGTCAATAACCGGAATAACACTGTCTATGGCTGAGGCTAAACTATTTCTTTGCCCTTGTAGCTTCTTCTGTAGGTAGAACCCCACTAGCTCTTCTTCTGTCGGAAAGAAACGAAACCCGGGTGGATGATCTACCATAGTACTGTTTTGGGTTATATGGAATGCAACTATATATTATACGGCTATAGTTTTTATCTACCTTTTGCAAAATTCGAATGAGGTGAATATATAAACATGGATGCAGAAGCTCCAAAAAGTTGCGAGTGGTGGGGCAGAGATATTCACCGAGTGAATTTAGAAAAAAAGGACGAGTTTGGATGGAAACTTTCACGCGGTTATGGGAGCGAGAAAACGTCTATGATATCCATGTTGGGTACCTTATGATGGCTACAGGCCTATATTATCCAATAAAATATCGTTTTGAATCAGTCATAACCTCTCCGACAAAACATAAGAGAAAAGGAAAGAAAAAAAGAAAAAAAAACTTACCTCTCTCTGTGTTGTTGGTATGTGCAATCATTCTATGTTAAGTCAGATAGGTTTTGTGTAATGAAACCTAATCACTTCTGCTGGAGCCTAATTTTCCAGACATATTTGTCAACATGTCAATGGAGATTTCTTTGGCTGATCAATCAAGCAACGGAATCTCACAAGTCACAAGTGGAACAAGTCAGATATGTCTTGTGTTCCCCCTCGCCACAAAAACATCTAGTCTAACTTCATTCATTTTATGTAATATCAAAATAGATTTCTGATCATTTTTTTTTATCTAATTATTATTTTGATTCTTTATAATTTTATAAATTTTATATTTTTGTTTTTATGAATTTTTTATTTTAGTCTCTATACATTTTTTTTTTCTTTTTAGTCTTTAATCTATCTTCTATACAGATTAAAAAAAATAAAAATATACATAAGGACTAAAATAAAATATTTTTAATTATAAGAACTAAAAGATTAAATTCATATAATTGTAAGAATCAAAACAGATTAAACTTATTTAAAAAAAAAATAAGAGATGTATATCACTCCTTATTATTTTTGCATTATTTATTCATTTTAACGTGAAATTATTTATTAATCTTGACACAAATATTTCTGAATTAGATACTAATTTTACTTATAATATTTGAAATGTCGTTAATTCAAGTGATTTTTATAAGTAGGAAAGATGAAATACAATATTATCTGTTAAATAAATAACAAAGATCAAATTAAGCACAGGTGCCTAATTACTGTTTAACTCATTTGATGAACGTTGTAAATACACTCGTCATTTTTGTTCAAATTTTCCCTTTTTGTATTTATTTTGAAGTATTAATTACTTCTTTATTTATGTAAATTTTTAGAATTATATACATACATATATATATATATATATATATAAAATTCAATTTCTATTTTTCTCTTCTGGCTTGTACTCTTAAATTATATTTTAAAAATCGTTTTATTCATTTAATTGTTATTTAATTACTAAATTTAAGCTTTTTAACTTATAAATATTATATTAAAATATATCCTTTTAAAAGTGACTAATTTTTTTTATACTTTTATTTTATCTTAAAGTCGTTCTTGCTTTGGATTTTTTTCTTAAAAAAAAGGGTAAATTTGGATTCTCGTAAATTGTTTATTTATATATTTATAACATAGTTTTTTAATTATTGTATTCAGTTAAAGCTTATTTGAAGAATTGTGAAAATATATATTATAATGTTAAATATTTTATTTATTTTATATTTTGAATTAATATTTTGTTTAAATTTAATATACTCATAAAATAAAGGAGTATTCCTGTGTCGTTGAGGATTAAAATATATTAGTATTTTAGCATGTATACTTCACATGCTAAATGTTAATTATATGTAACTAAATTTTATAATAAATTATATATAAATGAATATTATATTTTAATATATAAATTATATTTAAAATTTGTATAAACAGATATTTTTAAAATATAAAATTATATTTTTGACTTATTTTAAATAAGTTATATTATGGCATAAAATTATTTTTAAAATATTAAATTTTTATTTATTGATAATTAAATTATATAAAAAGTTAAGAAAATTTTTAAACACACTTTCGTAAAAGTTTAAAAATGCTATTGCAAAAGATAGCATATTGAATTTAACATATAGGATGTAATTCTTTGTCTAGCTTCCTTCATTAAAATAAATATCATTTACAATTTGACATATTAATTAGGATAGTTATTAAATATTAATTTTTTAAAAAAATAAGTTTGGTGATATTACCCTCTCGTGTTTATGCTTTTCTATTCCACATATGTAATACACATGCCAAAATGTATAGATAAAATAAAAATAATAATTAAAACCTAATAAGTTTCTACATTTCAACCTGGAGGGTAATACCACTTACAGGGAAGCATTTAAGTACCTTGGAATGTTTCGTGAGTAGCGATAAGAACCAAAGCAAAACTCAGCAAGTACGAATTATTAGCGTTAATTTGTGCTTTTAGCCAATTATTTAAGTTTTTTATAATTATGCTAGTCGTAAAAAGTATATCTATTAATTTTGTTAATAATAAATTACATTTTTTCATACACAAATCTTGAATCCTAAATAAATAACTTGTTAATAGTAATTATAGATTTAATCTATATTTTTGTGTGTGTACTTTTTTTGACTTTATGCTATTGTTTTTAGTGCATGATGCTTTATATGTACGAGGTGTGGAGATGGTTATTTATTGGATATAGTTACTAATTATAGTAGCGAAGGAGAAGATTTATTGTTAGAGAAAAATTTTGTTTCGTCTGTCTTAACTTTAATTTTGATATAAAACATATTAAAGAATGCTCAGTTTTAGCTCAAAAAAATACTTGTAACAGTTTTATATGCTAGTGAAAATTTTGATTGAATATTAAGACCGAATGTGATCTTAAATTTAAGACAAACCAGCGTAACAAGGTATATTATTAATTGTACTTTTTTTTTATAAAGTTGAGTATTCAAAACTTGCAACTATTTCTCAGATTATTAACTTGTGCTTAATAATGTCATTTTCTTAAATTAATTTTTATTTTTGTAGTACTGTTTTGTCAGTGATGTTCACTCTCGCGAGTATGTGAAAATTATTTTCCCTATGGCAAATTTATTTTTAGGTTAAATTAATTTTTATTCTTAAATTATTTTTTGAGTGTTGGATTGACGCATGAATATTCCACTTCGCGTGTTTTGACTTTTGTTTGGCTTGCGAGACACAAAAGTGTTTCCATATTTAGGCAGCTTGAGATTCAAATATTATAACACTATCATTTCTATGTTTTACTTTAATTATATGCTTAATTGTAAGTGATTGATAGTGTTTTTGTTTAAAAATTCTTGTGGTAAAGGAATTCTGACTAGAGATATTAACGAGATGGAACGGATATAAGTAATAACTCTTTATTATTTTTTTCTTGGATAAATATTTGTTCGTATTTATTTATATATATATATATATATATAGATAGATAGATATTTATTGAGTAGGTATTTGTATTTTTTTTTAATATTTATGAATATTTATAGATATTTATTAAAAAAATATCTTAAAAATATTTAATAAAATATTTTAATCATATATTTTAATTATTTGTAATAGATTTTTTAAGAAAGTTATAAAAATATGCATAAAATTTGTGAAGATTATAATTAAAATTTAAATAAAATCTACATAAAAAAAAGTCTGGAAATCATAAAATTTAAATTTAAATATTCTTCACAGTTATACTATAACAATAAGTGAATTTAAAAATTAAATTTTAATCATTCAATCATAAAAATTTAAAGTTAAAACAATAATTGTTAAAATAAAATATTTTGATTACACATAAATTAAAATAAATGATATTTAACTATTATGTCTAAACAAAATCTAAATAAAATCAAATTTATAGGAATTTAAATCAAATCAAATTCATGCAAGTGTAAATAAATTGAATAGCGGATATATATATTCATGGATATGAATACTATAATACTCGTATCCTCCCATTAACACGTGAATATAAAAAATATTTGTACTTGTTATTCGTAAATACTCATTTACAATATCTATTTTTTATTTGTTGCGGATTTTATTTGTAAATATTTACAAGTATGAATTTTTTGACATCTCTAATCTTGAAAGTTAAGTTGTCTCTGAGATAATCTTAAATATAGTTAAGTTGATTCAACCCCAAAAAGGATAAATAAGATTTTTATTAAGATGTGATCTCATAAGTTCTTGTTTTAAAAATTTCTAGAAAGAAGTTTTCTAAACCCAAACTTTATTCTCCTTCTTCTAAATTGAAAATTACTTTTTTTTTTTTAGTTGATTCACTTGACTAATTAGAGATTTCAAGTTTTTGGAGTTAGAATAGCTAGTTTGTTTTCTCTCTTCCCTCTCCTTGATTTGGATTGACAAGAGGTAGAAATTTTTTTATATTTGATTCATTATTAATGCATATTTGATTGTTGATGATTGAGATCACTTAATTGTAGTTGAATAGAGGTTGAATTCATGAGATATGGTTGATTACATATATTTTTTCTCCTTTTCAAACCATTTCACTTTATTTTTACTGCATTTGAGTAATTCAAAACATAAAACACTAAATAACAAATAAAAATGAAAAAAAATAATAATAAAAAGAGGGCCATAAAAGCTCATAAAAAAAAAAATTTATGTATACGTAAGCCGATGCTAGCCTACAGCGTATTTCTATACGTCATCTAGGTAGAAGCATTCCGCAAGCCCAGAGACTCATCGACCTATTTATTTTTTATTCAGAACATGTTAATAAATTTTTTTAAAAGCATTCATAAAAAGATTAAATTATTTTTTATAAGCTAAGTTTAGTTTACATATAAATTAAAAATATATTTTTTTAGAAAAAAAAACAATATGAAAAAATGTTACCGCTTTTCGTGCAATGTTTTATTGTTTTTCTTTCAACAAAACAGACAGAAGGCAATCTCAGGATTCTCAACACATGGACATTGGGTTGGCATGTCAAATACGTATCTTGGGTGATAAAATCACATTAAAAATAAAAATAACAAATAAATTTATTATTTGTAGATTCAAAGGTGACGCGTTGGACATTTCAAAGGCTACTAAAACCCTAGTAAGAGAGGAGAAAATAAAAAAGGAAAAATATAAATATAATAAATTAATAAGTAATATGACCATGTGATCAGAAAAAAGAAAAAGAAATGAAAAGAGTAGGTAGAGTGTTGTTAACAGGAGTAAATTATGTAGATATTTATTGAAGTTTAATGAGATTGAATATTTTTTTTTCT